ATTCTTTTTTTTCTTCTTCTTTTTTTATAGTTATAGTTTAAGTGAAAGTTTGCAATTCAAGTTAGTCTCTCATACAAAAATTTATACATACATTGTTATGTGACCCTAATTGCTCTCCCTATACTGTGACAGCACACTTCTGTTTTCCACTCCAAATTTCCCGTGTCCATTCAACCAGCTCCTGACATTCTCTGCCTTCTCATCTCACCTCCGGACGGGAGCTGCTCATTTAGTCTCATGTATCTACTTGAGCTAAGAAGCACAGTCTTCACAAGTATCATTTTATGTCCTATATTGCAGTCTAATCTTTGTCTGAAGAGTTGGCCTCAGGAATGGTTTTAGTTCTGGGTTGACAGAGAGTCTGGGGGCCATGCTTTCTGGGGATCCTCAAGTCTCAGTCAGACCATTAAGTCTGGTCTTTTTACTAGAATTTTGTTCTGTACCCCACTTTTCTCCTGCTCCATCATGGAGTCTCTGTTGTGTTCCTTGTCAGGGTGGTCATTGGTGGTAGCCGGGCACCGTCTAGTTCTTCTGGTCTCAGGCTGTTGCAGTCTCTGGTTTATGTGGCCCTTTCTGACTGTTGGGCTAATACTTTCCTTGTGACTTTGGTGTTTTCTTCATTCTCCTTTACTCCAGGTCAGTTGGGACCAATTGATGCATCTTAGATGGCTGCTCGCTAGCTTTTAAGACCCCAGTTTGCCTGAGTTCTTTATCTCTTCATTTGATGCTTATGGTTCCAGGATTTATGTCTCTGACTTAGTTTTTCGGGTCTTTGCTGTGGAGGGATGGCATGGTGCTTCTGTCTATAGCACCATGTTGTCCAGAGGTCCACAATGGCTTCATATTTTGATATTTTTGTTTAATTAAGGTTTCTGTGATTTTGTAGCAATACTTTTTGACTTATGCTCATGTATGTGCACTCTGTTGTATCCTTTGTTACTCATGACTTGTTACCTCTCTTTCAGCATTTTCATTATTGTTGTTTATTAACTATGACATGGAGTCCCTGGATGGCGCAAACAGTAAAGCTGTCAACTACTGGCCAAAATGTTGGAGGTCCAAACCCACCCAGAGACACCTCAGAAGACAGACTTGGCGATGTGCTTCCGAAAGGTCACAGCCTTGAAAACCCTATAAAGCAGTTCTACTCTGCACACCTGGAGTCTCCATGAGTCCTAGAACTTCATTAAGCACTTAATAAATGTACCAATGTCGTTATTTTTTACCTACATTTCCTGAGTTCCTACTCAGATATTGTCCTGGGTATTGGGGATATAAAGATGAAAAAGACAAAACCCTGTCCTCAATCATCTCATAGTTTAGTCTTAGATGTACCAACATGATACAAGAACTATTAACCCTGGCTACTTTTTGAGTGTCAAGGGACATTTTCTTTCCACTTGAGATCCTTCATACCATAAACGTGGATTACTTTTTATTAAAAATTAATGATAGTTACAATATAGTATAATAGTCAGTGTGTTTGAGATATGTATACAGTGCCATGGGAACAGGAGGTAGAAGGAGAAAATAATCTTATTGGAAAACCAGTTCCATGGAGTGGACTCCAATTCATGGCGACCCCACGTGTGTCAGAGTAGAACTGTGCTCCATAGGGTTCAGTGACTGATTTTTCAGAAGTAAATTGCCAAGCCTTTCTTCCCAGGTGCTTCTGGTTGGGCTAGAACCGCCAGCCTTTCAGTTAGCAGCCAAGCATGTTAACCAGTTGTTCCACCCAGGGACTCTGTCTTATTGGAAAAGGAGTCATTTTAGCCCTTACATCTTCACCAGATTTCCCCCAGAGTGTTGTAAAGTACACATCTTGTGGGAAGTCAGATCAAAACAATGTAGCCAGATGGTATGTAGGCTAAAGACTGTCTGCAGAATGGTGGCTGTCCCTCTTTGTATATAGCTCTCTCTGGCACATTACAACAGCTATTTCGACCTTCTAAGATTTTGTTTTTTACAGGGTTACCTCTGCTCTTAGTGGCATTGAGTAGGTTGAGAGTGGAATGACTTTCATACATCATAATTGGAGACCACTACCTTTTGATATGAAAATAGGAATTGCCTGGTTCATTTCTGTTAATTGCCTGGTTCATTTCTGTTAATCCCACACAAGATCATGAGGCAACCCTAGGAGTGACTGAAGTGTAGTTTGAAATGAGCCCTAGAGCTTCATCAACCAAGGAGAGAAGATTTTGAGACCCTTCTGGAGGTTTGGTCAGCCTCTCTCCTTCCTCTAACCCTAAAGAATTGGAGGCTTTTTGACGGGACTAAAAGCAATCTGCATAATACAGGTTCCTTTTGCTCCGTAGGCCTATTCCCCATCTAACTTGGGGTATGGAATCCCTGGTTTATTTTCAAGCTGATTATCAACTTAGACATGACCTTATGATTTTTCATAGCTTGTTACTTGATTTTTAAGTGAATTTATCGACCTTCAAGTTTTTAACTGTCTGCTGTTACTTTAGTCCATTTAAGCTGGAAGGTTGTCCAAAAACTCAGAAATGTTCCATAATACCAAATGTTCAGTTTTCTAATTGTGTTATTCAACAGAATAGTGAAGTAAAAATGTATATAATTTTTTCCTAATCTGTTTTCTTAGCTTTCAGAGTAATTTATGTCTAAAACAAAAAATGAGTAGGCTTATTGCCATAATTTAGTTGTGCTAAATTGTTTGGCTGTAACTTTAGTGGTGATGGAGACCAGATCTGTCAGCTGTGAGGTCTGTTCTATTTGGATCTGACAGCTGGCTGCATTAAATATCTTGAGCGTTTTGCTTTGCATAGGGATGAGAGATTGGGAGGGTGGGAACAGCAGTGGAAGAAAGTGATTGCTTTATTTAATGTTCTGTGTTTGTTTTCTGATTCCAGTAATAACAATGTACAGCTGTTTGAACAGCTGCCTCTTGATTTCCTTTTGTTTACTGTTTAGATTTATTAAACTTGTCTTTAATACTTGCTTATTATCTGCTCTTTAACTAGCTTTCCTTCTTTATTAAATGTGTTTTAATATGTTCCAGTCTCTTTTGGTTTAGCTATGCTTTGATGATTTAACAAGTTACTTTACTAAGAGAAAAATTTTTTAAGTTTTGCAGGTCATGCGGAGGGTGGCTTATGCTTACTTTCTTGATAGTGTGTAGCTTTGTTATTTTAGCTAAATATTTTATAATTTGGTAAATAAATTACCCTGAAATTAAGTCAGAATTTCGCTCGTGTTAAACCACCATTTATGTTAACTTTCTAAGTCTGCCAACAGGTATCTTAGTTTACATACTCCAGACTTGCAAAAAAAAAGTTTGGCTGACTAATGGTAAAAAATGTAAATTTTTGTTTTAACTACTTTCTGTGAACAGATTGAATAGCTAAAAGATACACACACGTACATGAAAAGTAAAAATATAAATATTGTATTTATTTGTCAGCCTTCTTATTTAGCCTGTTCAGGTAGACATATTGTTGTTAGGTGCTGTCGAGTGAGTTCTGACTCGTAGTGACTCTGTGTACAACAGAACAAAACGCTGCCCAATCCTGCACCATGCTCACAGTCATTGCTGTGTTTGAGCCCATTATTGCAGCCACTGTGTCAGTCTGTCTTGTTGAGGGTCTTCCTCTTTTTCACTGACCCTCTACCTTACCAAGTATGATGTCCTTCTCCAAGGACTGGTCCCTCCTGATAACATGTCCCAAGTACCTAAGACAAAGTCTTGCCATCCTCTCTCCTAAGGAGCACTCTGGCTGTACTTCTTCCAAGACAGACTTGTTCGTTCTTCTGGCAGTCCATAGTATATTCAATATTCTTCACCAACACCACAATTCAAAGGCGTCAATTCTTCCGTCTTCCTTATTCATTGTCCAGCTTTCGCATACATATGAGGCGACTGAAAATACCTTGGCTTGGGTCAGGCACAGCTTAGTCCTCAAAGTGACATCTTTGCTTTTCAACACTTTAAAGAGGTCTTTTGCACCAGATTTGCCCAATGCAATAGCAAGATAGACTTATTTGTAAACTTATTCAGTATTGTGAGATTGTTATTCTCTATTTACAGGTGAGGGACCTATCCATTGCTTATATGCTGGTGACATTGACTTATCTCTATATTGGAATCCTAGTTTTTGCCTCATTTCCTTCACCGCCATTATCCAAAGATTGCATTGAGCAGGTAAGGCACTATGTACCTTCTCTGATTGTTTATACCTTCACATATGCATAACAGTCAGGTAATACAGTAACAAGAACATAATATCAGACGATCCTGTGTTTGAATACCATCTCTAATTACTCTTGCTGTAGAAATTTAGGCACCTTCCCCATCCTTTCTGAGTCTCAGTTTCCTCAATTCTCATAAAATAGTCTAATACATACTCTGTTAGATTTTGGATGGACTGTCTGAGATAATATACTCCCTGCTGGTCAACTTGTGGTGCTCAAATAAATGATTACTACTATTTGCATATTATTTCTCTGTTTGGAGAACTATTGGTAGTAGTTCTCATGAGTTTGTAAAATCTCCTCAGAGAATGCATTCAGTCAACTCCCTTACTTTCCAAAGCCCAAATCTGGAAATACTGGATAAGCTGGATAAGCTGGTGTCTTAGTTCATCAGAACCCAATGATAGGTCTGGCTCTCCTTTTGGTGTTGAGTTGCAGGCAGCAAAGCAAAGAAGGATTATTTGGCTGTTAAAAGCAAAAATAAAAAGAGACAGACAGAAAGAATAGAAGAAAAATTCTACTGGAAGGCTGCCTTAAGAAATATTTTCTTGAATTTGTACCTATCATAAACTTAGGAATAGTATAGTCTCTAGGTTATGTGACTGAAGAATTTCTCACAACAAATAGCATTTTACCAGTGACTTTCTAGCTAGAAGAAAATTCTGCATTAGAGTACAGTGGAATATACAATGTGATATAAGTTATAAAGGTTATTTCAGCATAATAGGCTTAATAATGTTCACATCTTTATAAGAAAAATAGATTTGAGTTAGTACTCTCATGCTGGCTTGAAATGTTCTTCTAGTCTTGATTTCCTTAATTCCAAAAGTTCTTTGGCAGCCAGGTGTTTGCTGGAAATTTCCCTAATGTGAACAACCCCATATAAAAGCCCACTCCCTTAGAAATAAGAATAACTGTGGTATTTGTATTTGAAAAGAAAAAAATAAAAATTCTGAGTGATTAACTTTTTTTTAGAAACCAAAGTAAAATGAAGAAAATGATCATGAAACAAGTAGAAATAAATCTCTTTCTCTTTAGTGATGAACTGTAAATAATGATACTAGTTGATAGATATATTCTCCCTTATACTGTAAGATTTACTTCAAAACGGCTACCATACTTCAGAGGAGGAAAAGCAAGAGAGCTAGTGAGGATAAAATAACATTGAATTAAATTAGTCATTTAAATATATTAAAACAAATTTGTATATTATGCTTGAACCTTTACAGCAGTACTTCTCAAACGATCTATGATTTTAAAAAATGTGTTTTTTTAATTTATTTTTTATGTTAAATCCATTGCAGACTGATACTTTTGTAAAATAGAATAAAAAGTTGATAATGTCAAATTTCTATGAAAGTTTCTAAACATTTTCAATTTCTGTACCTACTGTAGTTAGCAGTTTGTGGACCAGCACTACTCCACAAACCACAATTTGAGTCACACCTATGTTCAAAATCAGCAAAAGACATTCCATTTTATAAAATCATATATACAGAATTTGATTTTTAACATTATCTTATTATCTTTCTTGAATTAGAATTTTTTAGACAACTTCCCTAGCAGTGACATCCTGTCCTTCATTGCAAGGATATTCCTGCTGTTCCAGATGATGACTGTGTACCCACTCCTAGGCTATTTGGCTCGTGTCCAGCTATTGGGCCATGTCTTCGGTGACATTTATCCTAGGTAAGGACTCTTCTCTTGACCAGCAAGATGTGCCAAGCAACAAATGAGTGTGCAAACAGGTCAGTTTATAGTGTGACTGATCCTTTTGCTATAAAATTTTGCCTAATGAAAATGATTACTAAGGATAGATCATTGGTATCCTTTTCCCCAGAGATCTTTAAAAAATAGAAAAGCCACTCCCTTGTCCAGAGTGACTTAAGGTGCATTCCTTCCAGTAGAGTTATATTAGCTCCAATGCCAGTTATATTTATCTCATGATTTAGTTGCTATTCATCTACAGGTTGCCAAGATGTTTGTTTATAGTATATAGTACCTGTTTTGGCAATGTGTGGCTGCTGAGAAGAAACTCTTTTATTTTAATCATTGGTTATTGGTATTTAGTTATATATTTATTAACATTCATACATGTTTGCATAAATGACCAGTGGTTTGGAATTGAAGGTGAGATATATAACTGAGCTTAAATTCCTATCAGCTTCTGTAAGTACTGCTATAATTTCTAATCTCTTATTGAGGGTAGAAGGGTTGTCAGTCTCTTTGAAAATATGTTCAAATCTAGTCACCCTCATTCAAGAGATATTACAGATGCTGTTTCAGGTTCTCCCTGAAGCCTCCCTCTGGACGTTAGTTAACTACTGCTCTTACATTATTAAATTTTATTCTGCGTTCATCCTAGTGAAAAGTACCTAGTCCTAACATATTTTACTGGAAATACATTATCTTCAGTGAAGAAAGCTTCTGAATCAAATTTGGAAAAAAAATTGTATTTGCAGCAACCAACCAAGTAGGCACTCTTAGTTGTTTGAACTGACGCAGTCTGCCGCCTCATTAAATAAATCATCTTAGTTATAAGTATTTTGATTTAAAAAACAAAGCAAAATGCAAAAAGTCAAGAGTTACCAGGTCTCTAGCACTAATAACAGCAGCAGCTACAGTTCTATCATTGCTCATCTAGAAGGCTGGATTTCAGAAAACACAACTCCTGTTGTGTTTATACCCTATGCTGTGTTTACATTCACCAAAATAAAATAAACAGAGTGAAGTAATAGATGAAAAAATGCTAAGTAAATGCATTATTCCTGTTTTCTGCCATTATTTTGCAGACTGGTGGCTGTTAGAATGGGGTTTCCCTTTCATGTTAAAATTACATTTCTTTCCCTACCACCAAGAACACACGTATCCAGAGTTACAAGTACTCTACAAACTGTGCATACTTTGGAACATACTTTTGGGTCTCAGAGCCCCTTTACACTCTTAAAGCTTATTGAGGACCCTCAAGAGATTTAGTTTATGTGGGTTATATCTATCAATAGTTAACATATGAAAAATTATACAGATTTTAAAAAATATTTACTGACTCCTTTAAAAATGTTGATAATAAAATCATTATTTGTTACCATAAGTAACATATTTTTATGGAAAATAATTATTTCCAAAACAAAAGAATTAATAAAAATTTATTTTACATTTTTGTAAGTCTCTTTAATGTATGATTTATTAGTAGACAATTGGATTCTTGTATCTGCTTCTGCATTCAATCGATCGTGGTATGTTGTTTTCATTTAAATATATGAAGAATTGCCAGCCTCATACAGATGCATAGTTAGAAGAAGAAAGGGTGTTTTTAATAGCCTTGTCAGATAATTGTGGATATTCTTCTTTGATGCTGTGCTAAAACTTGACAAGTGCTAGATTCTTAAAGGTTAGTTGCAGTGTGGAATCTGAAATTCGGTTACATTAAAACCCATTGGTCTGTCTTGAAATTTGGATCTTTTAGTCATGCGTGATTTTGTAAGATCATGTTTGGTCATTTGGAAAGTATTTGGTTCACTGAGTTCTGCAGATCGTCCAAATGCTGACACATTGCATTTTACAGTATCAAAACTCATATTTATTAGTATCACCACCAATTTCATCATAAAAGTTTTTAAATATTGGGAAACTTGTCAAGCTCAGGATAGTGAATACAAAGTTCTTCAAAATTCTAATTTTTACTTGAAAGCTCAAATTTTATCACTGGTAACAAATTTTATCATTGGCAACTGCCAGTTATTTTCCTTGAAGTGGCAGGCTTACATCATTCATTTTCAAGAAAATGTCAGATACCCAAGTCTGAATGACCATAGTTTGACTGCCTTTCAAGTCAAAATAGTGTTCCTTGAAAAAATCAACTGGGTTGCCCTCCAACTTAGTCGCACAAGTACTTTTCCTCAAGACAACCATTGAACTTCAGTGTACAGCATAAGTGCTTTATTATGTACTACCCATTTCATCAAGGAGCCCTGGTGGCACAGTGGTTAAGAGCTCAGCTGCTAACTAAAAGGTCAGTGGTTTGAACCAACGAGCCACTCCACAGGAGAAGATGTAGCAGTGGGCTTCCATAAAGATTACAGCCTTGGAAATCAAATGGGGCAGTTCTACTGTATCCTATAGGGTCTCTGTGAGTCAGAATTGACTCAAAAGCAGTGGGTTTACCCATTTCGTCAACCACACAGAATATTAAAAAATACACACTCAAAGCATGAGATTTAATAAAATTAATAATTTTTACTCCTTAATCAAGGATGAGCATGTGGCAGTAAAGAATATAGTATCTACTGGAACAGATAGGTGCAACTGCCTTGATCCTTGCTAATGGGCCAACAGTTTTACACATCATTGCTTTTACAGAGCAAATAATGTCTTATATTATTATGAAAATAGTTTTTCTCTCAGGGATTCCCTGAAGGGATTTGGCAACTCCTTGGGGTTTATGGTCACACTTTGAGAATCACTGCTTTGGGAAATACACAAAGTTGTTTCCTTGTACAATACAAATATATTAAAGGCTCAGCTGGTATCTCAAAATTCAGAAGCAATTTTAAGATTGGAGTTTCTGGATACACAGTAAGATCTGAAAGCCTGAATATCTTTGTAATTCATCAGGATGTGTGACTAACCACCTATTTGTGTAAATAGTTTTTCTTATTTTTAATTCTTTCTGTAATATTTTTTGTGAGATTGATTGACTTCTAATAACTGGGACTCCAAGGGGGGCTTTTATGTGTTAACTTGGCTTTTGAGAATCATTTGGGGGTGGGGGGGTAGGGGGATGGTGGAGTTATTTCTTGACCATCACATTTCATTGGCATTATTTTTACTTATGCCCAAAATTGATTCCCAAACCTTTGAATTCTTAATATCTAGTTAAAGTATTTAGTAGATATTCTATTCATGGTAAGTAGTGAGTAGTTTTAAGTGGTTAAATTGAAAAGCAAATTAAAATAACCACTTTACAAAAAGTTTGTTAAATATAGAAAAGAGGAAAAATTACCTGGATCTCAGAGCCTAACACAATCACTACTGCATTTTCAGTGTATTTCTTTCAGATGTTTTCAATTTTCTTGTATAGTGAAAATCTTATTGTATATACAGTTATATAGCTGGCTTTTTTCCAAGTTACCTAGATGGCTTTTTACCATCAAGATAATAATGATAACTTATTATTTTTAATAATTTTTAATACATTCCATCAAGTAAATTTTTGTCTTGCTATACATCTAGAATACTTCTGTTTTTCCATAAATGTCTTTATGTTAATAACTTTTTTCATGGATTTGATTATTTCCTTAAGATATTCTGAATGGAATTATGGAACAAGGAGTATGAACTCTGATACACATGCCAGTTTGCTTCTACAAAATTTAACCTATTTGTATAATTGCACAAAAGAACCAATTTCACTGCTAGATTGCCAGCCTTGAGTACTATTGTTGTTTTCTAACTTTGCAGTGATTTTACTGTCACGCTTAAGATATTTCTCATTTTGAAGGTATTAATAATGAATTTTATTCTCATATTAGTGGTTATAATTTACCTGTTTATATTTATTTATTTTTTCTTTCCTACATACTCTCTTCTCAACTTCTAGCATTTTCCACGTGCTGGTTCTTAATCTAATTATTGTGGGAGCTGGAGTGAGCATGGCGTGTTTCTATCCAAACATAGGAGGAATCATAAGGTACTGCCTGTAAGGGAACTGTGCCCCTTCGTATACTGGTCTTTATTCTTAGGCTTGTCCTATTGTTGTTGTTTTAATTTAATTGTGTGAAATTCCTCTTAAAACTGGTAACATTAAAATGTAGTTCCTTGATGTCAGTTAAGGTGCTTATTATTTTCCATTTCTGTTTATCCCTGGTGGAGAACTGACTCTAGAAGCCCCATTGACCCTTAGCTGCAAGGCTTTCCCTTTTACTCTTTTCCCCATCATCTTCCACTGTATCACATCTTCTCTTTATCCAAAATTAAGGGTTATTTTAGATATATACTATATAACTTCTTGGGGGCACCTGGAAGGTCCTTATATGTCAAGGCTGTGTCCTAACTTCCCTAAACCATTTCTATTCAAGAACATATTTCATTGTCAATTGTAGTAAGAAAGTAAAAGTTTAGGTAAGAGTTTAGGTCCGAGATGGTGCTTTCCTTATTGTCTTTTCCTTAAAAAAGTTGTGACAGGTTGAACAGAGTGGCAATAAAATTAAGACAGAGTTGTGACCTTGAATTCTTATGGGAGACTGAGGTTTAGAATGATCTGATTTCTCCTCTAACTTATGGACGGCAGGGCTGCATCGCTTGTTTGAAGATCTTTACCTAAGAAAGTAGCAAGAAGCAAGAGGGGAAATTATTAGCCTTGTGCTTATTGCACATAAAGGGTTTACAGGTCCCTATTAAACCGTTCTTCAAGAGAGCCCAAATATAGGGAAAGGGAAAAGAAAGTGCAGGATTCTCTGTCACAGTCCCATGTTTGGGTGTTTTTCTTATTATCTTTGATAATTATACTGAACTGCCACTGAGGCACTCATCTGTTCTCATTCTTAAACAGATGCTAACAGTCCCTCAAAAACTCAGAATGCATAATTTGTTTATAAAAGATCAAAGATAGGAAGCCTATCTCCGCATGTTTCTGAGGAAGTGGCCACAATCACTGAGACACAGGAAATACGGAGATTTGAGGGATGAATAAAAAACTCTTTGTCAAGCAGATGCTATAAAGATGAACAGGAAATAATATTTTATATTAACTTAGATAACAAGTGAAATAAATTTTAAGCCCAAATGCTTTATATCAACAAATGAATCAAAAATAATTTTGTTGCAATATCAGACTGAAGGGGTTTAAAATGTACTGTATATAGTGTAATTTGCAAATGAGAAAAAGCAAAATAAAAGGTGAATATTAACACAAAAAGCTTTTATTTTGCAGGTATTCAGGAGCAGCATGTGGCCTGGCCTTTGTATTTATATATCCATCTCTCATCTATATAATTTCCCTCTACCAAGAAGAACGTCTGACATGGCCTAAATTAATCTTTCACGTTTTCATCATGATTTTGGGCCTGGCTAACCTGATCGTTCAGTTTTTTATGTGAAATACTCAACTGTTTTCTTAAGATCTTTCATGGTATTTTGAGCTTTGACAACAGTTCCACATAAATTCACTTGTAAATGCTATTGTTGCTGTAATTCTAAATGTTTTCCTAAGAAACAGGCAGTTCCCGGGTTACGAACGTCCAACTTACAACCGTAGTTATGAACTAACCCCCATAAAGCCTGTTATATTAAAAATCTAAGGTACATACAATGGTTTGTATAACAAATGGGCGCTACTTTTAGACACGTATCAAAGCATTATTATTATTATTATGTTAAGATGTTTTAGTATATCCGGAAGTGTTTCTTTAATGTTTTTTATGCATAGAAAGGTACACTATATACTATGTACTAAGACAAACATTTGACTAACTGACAACTTAACGTACAAATTCTTCTTAAAGATAGATTAAGGAACGGAACTCGTTCATAATCTGGGGACTGCCTGTAATCTGAAAGCAAGAGGAAAAAAAGTAGTCCACTAATAAGTATTTTTATTAAAGTGGGGAAAGGAGCAATAAGAATGATCTTAGTCTCTTCACCTTTCTCATATTCACTCACCTCTTCATTCTCATTTTCTTTTCTGAGTAGAAAAGTGCGTTCTAGGAAAAATTATATTAGGTTTTCCTTTGGGAGATATGAAGTGGTTGGGTTTGTTTTGGCCGCAATAAAGATTCTCAGGGTGTTACAACATATTACCAGATCTTGTTTCTGTTTGATATTTCACTGTATTCACTTTCATTTAATAATGTACTTGAATGTTTTAACACATGGAAAACTGATTTTTGCCCATTTAATGATGAATAAGACAAAGAATGCGTTATTTACTAAACTAAAAAGCAATGTATATCTTTGCTTTTGTTTTCGTGATAATTAGAACCTCCAGAATCCTGTATTAGACTTCTGCTGAATGATTTTGCCTTCTTGATTTTCTTGCCATGAGACCAACTCCTTTGGCCTGTTATTTGACTTGGTTAGAGAACTCTTTGTGTATGAGCGTGTATCTCCTTGCTTACACATTACAATGATACGAACTCATTCAGATCACATCACTGTTAATTTTAGACTTTCTTTCCTGTCATCTCTTTGAATTTTCTCATTTTTTTTTTCCATTTCTTTTGCTTTGATGTGGTTAAATCTTAGTTGCTTTGGATTTAGCTTATTTAACATACAACTGAGGGCATTATAAAGTTGTTTAGCATGATCTTCCTTAGAAAGCCTCTGGGTGCTAATACTAAACCAAGAAGAATAAAGAAAATATAACTTTAGTTTAGCATCTGTGGGTGATCATCATAATTCAGTTTCATCATCACATCCAAAAAAATATATTTAGAGTAGGAAATAAATCGATACATAAAAAAGGACTATATTAAAGGGAAATATTCACTTTATTTGCATTAAGTGTATTTTGCAAATACAATGTAATGGCAGCTATTAAATGTAGAAGAATTTTCTGTTTCTATTTGGAGTTCATTTGGAGAAATTTTGATTCATGTTTAGATTTGTTCATTTCTATAAATAATTGCATAAACTACAATGTTCAGTGCTTTGGAGGAGACAAAGATGTTTAAGACATCATTCATATCCTAAAAGAACTTTCAGTCGGGTAAAGGAACCATGTACATAATTAACTATAATGCAAGGCAGTATATTCTGAGGACTGATAGGGAGAAACAAGCAGCTCCCTTCCGAGTGGAATCATCAGGGAGGGTCGTCGGTAAAGGAACCTGAGAGGTAAAGCAGCAAGGGCCCATTTTCAGGCTCCTCCTAATAATTGTCCAAAATGTTAGATATTTGGTACATTCACCATCAAATTGAATCACGTTAAGTAATTGGTTTTATTTTGGCAAATTTCCTCTAAGTTTTATGAGATGTATTTAACTGCTTCTGTATACTATTTATTGTTTTCTTTGTATTCTAATGTACTTTGCGTTCATGTCTGTGAATCTTGGGCAGCAAAGCACAACTGGTTAATAGGATAAATAATTAGTACCATATTAGGCAGTAAAAACAGAAAGATTCTGTAATATATTTTCTCCAAAGTCTTGACTTATTTAAATATTAGTGTTTAAAATGTCAAATGTTTGAGCTTGTTGATAAGAGCAGAAAATATTGATGCTGCATGTTTTCGTTACAAAACACTAACCTATTGCTTTTTAGAATCTAGTAGTATTGGTTTTTTTTAACTCAATTTCCTCCCAATTTGAATGTGTAGAACCAAATCCAAATCTAATTAACACCTGAACAATAGAATGTTGCATTAGTTTGTGATCCAAAGTGAAATTAATCCCCCCACATGGGTACAATCTGGCCTGGCTGGCACCAGTTTTACAGTTGACTGCCGCCCTAAATTTGAGATTATGTAAACACATACTGCAAAACTGCTCTGACGGGAACCTCATAACCTAAACAGTGTTCTCTGAAATGTAATTTGTTGTTTTTTTATATAAAAAAGAAGAAGTTAAACCAAAATTATTTTGAAGGAAAACATGTCTTGAGTTTTGTTTAATTACATTTTGCTGGGAAATGCTGTTGCCTCGGCACCGACCCCAGGGCAGGAGGAAGCTGGATTCCATCTTCTGCAGGGTCAAACTTCACAGGCGACTTTGCGCCTGTGTCTCACATCAGACCCTAAAGAGCCCTCCCTAGTGTTCTGATCCTAGAGGAAGGCATATGTCACATTATGTTTATCGAAACCTAAAATGATCATCCCTTTGTGACAGTAAACTGCAGTGACCTCTCCCTCTGAGAACATTTTAGAATGAATGTGACAATTTAGATTAGTGTAGTCCAGTTTCTGGCAGAGATTGGTATCATAATCTTCCATTTAAATCAATAAAGAGCTCTAAATTTATGCCTTCCGTAAGTAAAATTACTTTTTTTTTTTTTTTTTTTGTCATTTTTCTGTTTCACAACTCCTCTGCAAAAATAAAATGCCTTTTTAAAAGATTAAAAACTTCTCCATTCTCCTTATTCATCTCAGGCATAAAGTTACAGCCCTGGGAAAGGGGTGGAAAAGAACTCACTCTCTCCAGATTTTTCCTCCTTTGGCTCTCTCTTGATCCCAAGTGATCAAATTATGTTTGGTTATGACAGGTACTCAATATACATTTGTTGAATTAATCAGTTAATAACTAGACAGCATTCTACTTTAATGGAAAAAATTAAGTTAACTGCTGTTATCTATAATTTTGTTCCATACCCAAAAACCAAAGCAGAACTGGGTTAGTTGAGTCTGAGATTAGTCACTCAGTCTATTTCTGTACTTACTAGATGCCAGGCCCTGTGCTAAGTACTAAGCATGAGTGATAAGAAAACCAGATGTGACCCCGGCAGTTTAACATCATTTACCCACCCTTCCGGAGTACCAGACCAGCACTGGGTCATTTTCCCTAGGTCGCATTGAAGTGTCAGGTGTGTGCCCTTTTCTGCTGCCCTGTCTCTTATGGATGCTGTGTTGTAGCCACGTTGTAGGCATGTTATGAAGCAATGAGTATAGGATGGTGGTGCAATAAGTGGGACTTTGTAAAATAAACTGTATTTATCAAGATAAAACTTTTTAGGATCCTAGGATAATTATAATTGTAAAATTATGTAGACATGGACAAATACTGGAAGGTGCCACAGAAGATTGAACATAGGTAATCTGTTAAGATAATGGAATTCTAGGTGAATCATTCATGTTTTTACCATATTATTTGCATAATAATTTTTGAAAAGATGTCTAGAATAAAGTCATGGGAAAAGAAGATTTGTAGAAATATATCTATACTTATTCCATGAAGTAAAGAGCCTGCCTACAGAGAACCTTTGTAATAGGTGAGAGAGAGCCTTGGTTGTCGGGGCATATATTCAGGTTTTGTGGCGCTTATATAATGTGGGATTCCCTTTTTAAGGAAATAATACAAAATTAGGAGCCCATACGAATGAGAGACCCTGACTTTAGCGTCTTTAGCTTTAAGGTAGATCACCCACAGAACACTCCCTGAGGGGGTGAAAGGGAGAGGGGGAGGTACTTTAAAAGACTGAAGGAGGCATAATGAGGAAAAGTTTCTACACCACATACCTCCTTGTTCAGACACTCCAGCACCCTGTTTGATATATCAATCTTTGAGTTTCTCTACTACCTTGAAGAAACAGCAACTTTTACCAAACCTGAGCTTTCATTTCTGTTGGAGTTAAATTGGATTGAGCAAAATAGCTGGGGTACAAATTCAATAATGATTAATTTGGGTCAAATTACATTTTTTTTTTTAATAGATTGGAGAGATTTTCCCTGCGGATGGATCTTGCAGGCTATTTTTTCATCTTTACAGAGATAATAATGAGTTCAAAGAATATTGTTTAATTTTCAAATAATTGGTTTACAACTCTTAGTCTATATTAAGGATGATGAATCTTTTAAGGGGTCTTGATACAGAAAACAAGCTACCAAGAGCAATGTTAGAGTAAGACAACATTTGTTTATTTATACTCCATCTTATTCCAGAAAGGATCTATTTCTACTACACTAAAGTTATATCAACTTTGAAGGATTAACTTGAAGTTTTTTATTTTTTCACATACAAAAATTTATACATACATTGTTATGTGACCCTAACTGCTCTCCCCATACTGTGACAGCACACTTCTCCTTTCCACCCCTGATTTCCCATGTCCATTCAACCAGCTCCTAACCCTGTCTGCCTTCCCATCTCACCTCCAGACAGAAGCTGCCCGTTTAGTCTCTTGTATCTACTTGAGCTAAGAGGCACACTCCTCACGAGTATCACTTTATGTCCCACAGTCCAGTCCAATCCCTGTCTGAAGAGTTGGCCTCGGAAATTGTTTTAGTTCTGGGCTGATAGAGAATCCAGGGGCCGTGCTTTCTGGGGTTCCTCCCATCTCAGACCATTAAGTCTGGTCTTCTTACTGGAATTTGAGATCTGCACCCCACCTTTCTCCTGCTCCATCAGGGACTCTCTGTTGTGTTCCCTGTCAGGACGTTCATTGGTGGTAGCCAGGTGCCATCTAGTTCTGGTCTCAGGCTGATGAAGTCTCTGGTTTACGTGGCCCTTTCTGTCTCTTGGGCTAATACTTTTCTTGTGTCTTTGGTGTTCTTCATTCTCCTTTACTCCAGGTGGTTGGGACCAATTGATGCATCTTAGATGGCCACTTGCAAGCTTTTAAGACCCCAGATGCCACTCTCCAAAATAGGATGCAGAACATTTCAACTTGAAAATTTTTTAAGAGAGTAAGTTAGAAATTTATGACACTCCTTAAGGAGAGGAATTTAAATTTGGATTCAAATACAATAAGTAATTATTCCTCAGTGCCATATTACAGTCCTCTATGCAATAAACTTTCGTTGATTGTCCTAGATTTAGGAATGCAAATATAGACATCCTTCCCAGTGCTGCCAGAATTCTCTTTATTTAATATGAAACTGATTATGTCCCTCCTCTGTAAAATTCTTGAGTACCCAACAGAAAAATGGGCAAGGGCCTTTGTAACACCTCTCAAAGGAAAACTGCAAATAAACATGAAGAGGGAAAAAAAAGTTGAGGAATAAACTAATGACCCAACATGGATGAACCTCAAAAACATTACGCTAAGTGAAAGAAGCCAGGCACAAAAGACTACATATTGTATGATTCCATTCATATGAAATGTCTAGAAAGGGCAAATATATATAGACAGAAAGCAAAACAGTGGTTGCCTAAGACTGGGGATGGTGGCAGGAATTAACTGTAATTGGGCATGGGGAAACTTTCTGGGCTGATAGAAATGTTGTAAAAGTGAATTGTGGTAATGGTCACACAACTATAGATTTACTAAAATTGCTGGATTGTACACTTAACATTGGTTGAATTTTAAGGTATGTAAATTATCCCTCAATAAAACTGTTAAAGAAAAAAAAGTACAACCTTACTAGTCAGAAAAGTCATTTAAAATATCTTTTGCTTTCTACTTGGAAGCAAAGTTATAATACCCTGACAAAGGTATGGAAAATGGATATTCATACACAAGTAGTAGGTGTAAAATGAATGCAGACTTTCTGAAGGTAATTTGGCAATATACATCAAAGCCTTAAAGTGTTCATAGACTTTGACTCACTTCTAGAGGCATATTCTAATGAAATATAGCCACTCTTCGCTTATTGACATGGTTAAGTACAAAAAAGCAGGTCATTATGTGAAAATCAGCATATGTGAAAATGGAGAATGACTACATCATTACATAACTGCCAGATTACATCATTACATAATTGCCAAACCACTGAGAATCATGGCCCAGCCAAGTTGACCCGTAACCTTGACCATCACAGCCAGTGTTACTCTTGCCTCACACCTCAGCGTTTTAAGGGGTCTTGATTGTCAGACATACATTGTTAATGCACAAAATAGTCTGATAGTAAAATTTTTTACTATTGTCATAAATGTGAAATGTCAGATAATGAGATAGTTGAAAAGTGAGGAATAGGTGTAGTTGGACAAGTGTAGACACACGCATAGAGATGTTCATCTCTTTACTGTTTGTAATCGAAAAATTAGAAATAGCCTAAATGTGTAATAGTAGGAGATAAATTGTGGAATGTCCACCTAATAATATCATGTAGCTATTTAAAATGATGGTACAGATGTATTTATGTAATAAATGTAAAAAATGTTTATTAAAAAATAAGTGGCAAAAAGGTTGCAATTAAATGTGTAGAATTAAAAGCATTTGTTTTTATATGTGCATAGAAAAAAGGCTGTAAGGTTGTATAACAAATACGAACATTAGTTATCTCTGGGTGCTGGGATTATGAGTGTTTCTTTTTTATTGTTTTTGTTTATTTGTATTTTCTAAAGTTTTAAAGTAAAATGTACCACATTTTATGAAAAAAAGCAATAAAGTTTTTTTCTTAAGAAAATATCTTTCATTGACTTCTCATCAAAGCTATAATTATGGACCCCATTTGACAGTAATAACAAACAAAAATACTTTAGATTTTAACCCAATAGAAATTGTACTTTTAGTATCTATTGATTGATAAAAATAGCAAAAAGCTACTATAACTTCTATATACCACTTATACATAACTTTGAATGTATTATATTATCTACAGACATTTGAACAAATAACACATTTCAGGCTTATTATTTATTTTTATTTAATCTATTGGCAATGTTTTGTTCCTGTATGGATTTCAAAAGCCTTTCAAACAACTCTGTGGCCTGTAGATTGGAAAGTTCTAACCTAGAGAGTAACGTCTAAATTCTTTAGCTTGGTGTCCAAGGCTCTTTCGATTACAACCATAGCACCTTTCTGTTTTCACCTCACTCCGGTTTGCACAAAACTATTTGTTATTTTCTGCCTTGGGCTCTTCTGTCCATCTGCTTTTGTAGGTGCTGTGCTCTGGGCCTGAAATGTGTTTTTCCCTTTGTTCATTTGAAAAGTCCGCTATCTTTCTAGACACCTCTTGAAAATCACCCTTAACTGCCTCCCTGATAGTTGAAGTGCTCCGTTTTCTGTGATTTCCAGCATTTCAGATCTGCTTTGTTGTAACATTTATCACATTGTGTTTTAATTACTGGTTTATATGTGTTTTCACAACCAGTTCAGGAACTTTATCTTTGTATCCACATTGTCTGCAACAGAAGAGGTGTTTGCCATAAATCTCAGTTGAATGAGTGCATCTAAATAGACCCAGTCCTTGCCCAGAGGAGCTCACAGTCTAGTTGGGGAGAAAGTACATGTCTAATATGTGTTTATACCTGTAATAAAAGACGTGAATGAGAGCACAGAGGAGAAAGTGATTAATTTTGAGAAGGAAGAAAGGAGGAAGAAAAGTCTTGAGTGCCTTGCTAAGGCTTTAGCAATTTATTGTGTAGAAAAATGGGGATGATTCACCAAGTTGCTCCC